GGGGGCGGATGGGAGTTTTCAACAGTGAAAATTTTTAGGGTTTTGTTTTTTAAATGAAAGATAGGGAAGGGGTGTTGGGTCTTTGGGGTTATGGACTGGGTCGACTCGGTTTGGAATGGACCTGGTCGTAGAGGATGGTTGGGTATATTTGGGCTTGTGGTTCAAAATTGAAAAAGAGGCCTAATTCCGATTTTCTTTTATATTCTTGCTCTCTTTTCTTTTACTTCCTAATTAATAAAACTAAAATTCTAAATTAACTTATAAACTAAATTAACTTATAAAAAATACTAATTAATTCCAAATAACTATTATCGCACATTTAAATAGCAATTAACGATAAAATCGCACAATTTAGACGTTAAATGCTAAAAATGCAACGTACATTATTTTTTATGATTTTCTCATTTTTGTAAAACAAACTTAAATAAATACTAAATGAAAATGCGACATATTTTTTATATTTTTTATTAATCTAACAAATAAACATGCATAGACAAAAATGCAAATAATTACACAGAAATGCCACGAAGAACACAAAAATTGCACACAAAGGAAAATTGTTTTATTTGGGATTTTTTGGGAGTAATTCTCATATAGGGCAAAAATTACGTGCTTACATTGGGGAGGTTGCTTATGAGCTTGCCTTACCTCCCAGCTTGGCCGGAGTTCATCAGGTACTTCATGTTTCGATGCTCCGGAGGTATCACGGTGATTCGTCGCACGTGTTAGAGTTCAGTTCAGTCTAGTTGGACAAGGATCTATCCTATATTGAGGAGCCAGTGGCGATATTGAACAAGCATGTTAGAAAGCTGATGTCAAAGAACATTGCATCAGTAAAGGTTCAGTAGCGGGGTCAGTCGGTCGAGGAGGCTACCTGGGAGACCGAGCAGGATATGCACAGCCGTTACCCTCATCTTTTCACTACTTTAGGTATGTCTTTATGCTCGTTCGAGGACGAACGAATGTTTAAGTGTAGGAGGATGTGACGACCCGGCCGGTCGTCTTAAGAATTTATGCCCTGATCCCCCATTAACTGCTTTCCCCGAGTTTATTTCTGCTATTTTGATTTGCCGGGATGTTCGGTTTTGAGTTTCGGAGAGTTTTGGGACACTTAGTCCCTAAATGAGAGCTTAAGTGTTGGAAAGTTGACCATAGTCAGAACAATATGAAGACGGCCTCGGAATGGAAATCCGATGGTTCCGTTAGCTCCATTGGGTGATTTCGAGCTTAGGGGGCGTGTTCGGTTTGTGTTTTGGAGGTCTGTAGCTAATTTAGGCTTGAAATGCCGAAAGGTCGAATTTTGAAGTTTCCGGTTCGATAGTGAGATTTTGATCCGAGGGTTGGAATGGAATTCCGGAAGTTGGAGTAGCTCCGTAGTATTGAATGTGACGTGTGTGCAAAATTTTGGGTCATTCGGACGAGGTTTGATAGACTTTTTGATCGAAAGTGTATTTATAGAGTTTTTAGAACTCTTAGGCTTGAATCCGATGAAAAATAGGTGTTTTGATGTTGTTTTGAGCGTTCCGAAGGTTGGAACAAGTTTGAATGAAGTTATGGGATATTTTGGTAGGTTTGGTTGAGGTCCCGGGGGCCTCGGGATGATTTAGGATGGTTGACGGAAAGATTTTTGGAATTTTGGAGTTGCAGATTCAGCTGTTCTTCTGTCATAACCGCATCTGTGAGTGTGGGACCGCAGGTGTGGAACCGCAAAAGCAGCGAATCTGCCACAGAAGCAGAAATGGGGAAGTTCAGCAGGGACCGCAAAAGCGGCAGGATTTCCACAGGAGCGGTACCGCATCTGCGGGTGGGGAGTTGCAGATGCGGAAGATTGGTTTTAAGTGAGAAGTCGTAGATGCGACCCGTGTTCCGCAAAAGCGGGACTGCAGATGCGGTAACAACTAGGCAGAAATATGAAATTTCGAGGGTTTAGTTTCAAAAGTTGAAAATTCAATTTGGAGCTCGGGAGAGGGCGACTTTGAGAGGAAATTGAAGAGGAGATCAGTGGATAACAATTCTTTAACCCTTTCTAGTTATATTCCATCAATCTATAGTTAGTTTCATCATTTAATTTCGGATTGGAGATGAAAATTGGGGAAAATTTGGAAGAAAGTTCTTAGACCTAAAATTCGACTTTTGAGTGGGAATTTGACCTTAGATTTGGATAATTTTGGTATGCATGAACTCGTGAGAGTATGAGTATTCTGAAAATATAAATTTTACTCGATTCCGAGACGTGGGCCCGAGGGGCATTTTGGTCATTTTACCTAATTTCGCGTATTAGCTTAGAATTTCTTTGTAGAATCAGTTACTTGAAGTGCTATTTACGTTATGCAATTGAATTGAATAGATTTGGGCCATTTGGAGTCGAGTACTCGTGGCAAGAGCGTGGTTTCGGATTGATTATTGAGCCAATTCGAGGTAAGTGGCTTGTCTAACCTTGTGTGAGGGACCTTCCCCTTAGAATTTGGTATATTTGGTAATTGAAATGCCCTGTACGTGAGGTGACGAGTGCGTACTTGTGCTAATTGTTGGAAATCCGGTTTTCATTAAGTAATTACTAGTATGTTTTCTGCCCTGTTTTTATTACTTATACTATTAAGCTTGTTGTTAGCTTAGGAAAGCATGTCTAAGTGACTTAATTGCTTCACTTGTTCAAACTGCCTTACCTAAATTTTGTGCAACATGCTAGGCTAGAATTACTTGTTTGCCTTAATATGAAATTTGACATTTCTGAATGTCTTCCTGTATGCTGCTGTGTATTTACATTGGGACTACGGATGTGGGATTCCGGTAGCTCCCCCCTTGTCTATTTATTTTGGGACTACGGATGTGGGATTCCGGTAGATCCCTTGCACAGTTATATGGAACTACGGGAATGCACCCGGTATATTCCCCAGTACTGGTTATTTACATTTGGGACTACGGAACGGGATTCCGGTAGATCCCTTGCACAGTTATATGGAACTACGGGAATGCACCCGGTATATTCCCCAGTACTGGTTATTTACATTTGGGACTACGGAACGGGATTCCGGTAGATCCCCGCGCACTATGAGTTGGACTCCGGGACGGGATCCCGGGAGATCCATTGGATATGTATATTTGGGACTACAGGACGGTATCCTCGGAGATCCCCGATTGTTATTTTGGTGTTGAACCGTATTTCTTTCTGTGTTTACCTTGTCTCTATAATAGTTGTTGTTGCCCTTTATATTTTGTATTATTTTTATTACTGTACTTAATTATGTTGTTCTGTTCTACACTATTGAACTTTATATTTTATTTAACCTCAGTAAGGCTCTGACCTTACTCGTCACTATCCGACCGAGGTTAGGCTTGGCACTTACTAAGTACCGTTATGGTGTACTCATGTCCTTTCTGCGCATGTTTTTCATGTGCAGATCCAGGTACCTTGATTCAGACTTACCATCCTTAAGGCGAGGCGACCTTTCGGAGACTTCAAGGTATATCTACTACGTCCGCAGACCGAGGAGTCTCTCTCTATTCTCTCTTGTAGTTACAGCCCTTCTGTATTTACTTGTTTTAGACTATTCTGGAGTTAGAGCACTATGTAATATCCCTAGTTTGTGATTCATGGGTTTTCGGGTCTTGGAAGTATGTATTGGTTTGAGAGTTAAATATTGTGTATGCCGAGCGGCACTTTTAAACACTGTTTTATCACTCTAGTTCTGTCTTAAATCGTTTAATTTTCGCAATTTGGTTTATCTTCCGCAATTTAGGCTTACCTAGTCGTAGAGACTAGGTGCCGTCACGATGGTTCACGGAGGACGAACCGGGGTCGTGACATATTCACATGTATTTGCACCATGTATTCATGAATAAACAGCAAAAAGCGCTTAAAATCAGGACACTCCAGCTGTACGCGCATGTATTGACATATATTCGCCGCTGTTGTATTCATGAATACAGCAGTAAAAAGCGCCCAAAATTAGGGCAGTCCAGCTATATGCGCATGTATTCACATGTATTCGCGCCATGTATTCATGAATACAGTAACGACAATCACCTTAAAAATAAGTATGTACAGCTATCTAAGAGAGAGGAAAAACATAAATAGCGTATTTCATGCCTCAATGGTAGTATATAATATAAATACTTATTTTGCTATAAAATATAAAAGATAGCTATAGAAAATAATATTTTAAAATGATTTTGATTTATAATAAATAGGGTGTATACCTTTACTATAGGAGGTAAAATTTCCTATAAACTTCAGGCATGACTAAGTGATTTTTTTTAATGAATCAGAATAAGTTTCTTTGCATTTTGTCGCATAGGCCAGTAAACTACTCTGAGCTAATATAGGGATATCGATTGACAAATATCTTAGGATCCTAACCTCTAAACTACGATTTTTCAAAATTTACAACTTTTGGCAATTGATCTTGCAAGTCATAAATCACCAAATAAACACCATTACTTAGACGTGTCCCAATAAAAAATTTCATATGCTTGCGAGGGATATTTATCAGTGAAAGATCATGTCTTCGCTAGTGCTTGATTATTCGTGAATCATCTCCTTATAGAAGACACAGATAAGTGGGGCTATTCGACTATTGGGTCTTAATATGCACATAACCTAGAAATAGACATCATCAAAAAGATATCCCAATTAAAACACGTCCATGAATGGTCATGTGTTCACATAGAAAGTTTATTCATAAATCATTATCTTACAATACAGTCAATTAATCGATCAGTTTGTTCTATTCAACTATGTTTGGACCCATCTCATAGGCATTCCTACAAAGTCAATATCGCATTTGCTTTCCACCATGTAAACTTGCCTACAACAACAGAGCTAAGTGCTGAAGTAGAGATAGAATTCATCCTCCTACCCCCACCCACCCATACCCAAAAAGGGAAGGCGCCAACAAAGGAATAGAATTCATCTTTTCTCGGATGAATATACCTTATTTCCTCCAAAAACCATTTACACCCGATGGTATATGAAGGTAGAGACTTAAAAGGCCAACATCTGATTGTACAAGCATTTCAAGTTATTTGCATGAAATGGTAAAGAATTCCTATTTACATCAATTTATCAGAGTACATAGAAAAGAACAGCTTTAAGCACCATTAACACTATCGTCAGAGGTACCATCAACCATGGAATGAACGAAAATGAATTGAGTTCACACAGCATAGGGATAAAGCAGGGTAGCAAAAAGATTTAGATACAAATACTGAATCAATTCATATTAGAAGTACAATTGTCTACACTGACCGACCTCAACCTCCGTGGGGCAGTAAGGACACTTGAAAGGCCTCGTGTTGTTGTTCTTCGACAGTTTTGTAATAGATTGCTTGCATAGCACATGCCCGCAAGAAAGCAGCATAGGCGGATTCTCCTCAGTTGCCTGATCCCGACTCACTGGACAGACAAAGATGGAGTGGAACTGAAACTCTCTGTCCAAGTCTACAGGCACGGGCAACTGTTTCATGGATTGCCATTCCTGCTTTTTCCCAGTCATCACATTCATTAGTTTCAGAAGGGTTGGCAACCCCTGGACACCAGCTGCAATGGTCACACTCAATGGACTGTCATAGGATTGACCCATGAGATTGCAGAACTGCCGAGCAAGCTCTTCAGCCAATTTATCCCAGTGGAAAGGTGATAGCAAATCTGCATAAGGTGACGAATCTAGTTTTCCAGCCCACAATAGACAGGCCATGAGCCTCTGGATCTCTGCCATATATTTGGTGGCAAAAGGGGGGAAGAAGGTTCTCGCATAATTTAAAGCTCCATCTCTACCTCTTTTCTGTAGAATTTCCACAAACTGCTGCCTATGTAGCTTCATTTCAATATCAGACCCACTTAGCTTAAGTTTCTCACTGTTGGTGGTGGCCCAACCCAGAGCTGGTTCCAGGTTTCGAGACCTCATGGCTTCAAGTATATGATGCATTTCCAGAAAAGGAGATTTTTGGCCTGCAGCTTCAGGTTCTCTGGCCTCGGTTATGAAACAATCACCAAGATCAAAGTGGCCTTCCCGGTAGAAATGGCTGGCGATTATCTGGTTTACGGTATGGATATCAGAACCAACATTCCTGTAGGCCTTTGATATGTCAGGGTTGAAAGACTTCTCAAGGAGCTTAGGGTACTTGCTTAGTGCAACATTTAGCTCTTTTTGTGTTCCTTCCAACTGACTGAGTGGAGCAACTTCTTTCAACTTAGCTTTTAGTTCACTAAGAATCATTTTGTGCTCACCCAGAGATGCAGCATCATTTGTTGATTGTATTCTCAACAGTGCTTGTTCTATTTCATGACCGATCTGCTCCATCACTTCTTGAAATTTTGATGATGCAACCTTTTGCTTCTTTGTGACACGATCAAAAGCATCTTTAATGGTATTCAGCTCCATTTCCTACTTTCTCAAATTCCTGCTAGAACTCTCGCTGTAAAATCTAGATGAAAAGAATACACCGTTAGTATGCATTGTACACATATGGGCACAAATAGTAGGAGATAATAAAAGGAAAAAAAAAATTCCAACAGTGCCTAACAACCAGACATGGCAGTGTATGTTTTTGCCTGCAAATAAAATATTTTTACTCCTCGGAACTACCTAACTTCAACTCATAATGAACACAAGTAGCTAATTAGCTACAGCTGCAAGAAAGTTTATGATCCTTAAAGAACTTGAAAGGAGACGGGATCATTAAAAGTTAACTAATAAGACAAGGAATATTTTGATTGCTTCATGTTATACCTTTACCTGCTGCTAGTTTGTTTCGCCAGCTAGAGCAAACATGTATTATTTCCCCACATAACACCTACCTTGCATCAATGCTACAGAACTTCATAACCAATTAGATCCTTTTCTCTATCCCATCTTAAGCGACACGAATACAAAAAAATAAGTAGCTGCTTTGACTTATATATAAAATGCTTAATAAAAAATTAAGAGAGTAGCTGGAGTTCATGCTTGAAGTTGTTTTTTAATAAAGAAAAACACAGTATTGAAGTTGTAAAATTTTGAAACCTGAGAAAAATATGTAGAATATTAAGAAACTCAACCTTAAAAGCTACGTCATGAGATGAGGATGGCCAGACCCTTATAAGGAAACAACAGCCTATTCTCTCCCGTAATCTGGGACTCTTACAAGCCTTGCGCGCTCATGCCTGGACATCTAAAGCATAGCATGGACAACACAAGGAGACAACAGCCTGCTGTAATGTTAAAATATCAAGCACATCAATTTGCAGATTTATACATGTCTAGATTCATTGTACTTAATAAGAAATATCTTCTTTTTTTTCAAGTAAAAATTTGGACCATTTCTCAATTTGTGTGTGTCGTCCTGCGCAGGGGCTATGCTAATCTTTCCTATTTCGTTCCAATTTTATCGGATGTCCCGGAAGGAACTTGGATAAGAAAATCTTATAAAACATTCCTCTAAGATACCTTAGGATAGTGTTTTTAATTATAGAATATATTTACCTACCATATTAATATATTTGGGCACCTCTTGTACGTTTTTTTCAATCAAGTCAATGATAAGTTTTCTCTATTCACATGGTATCAGAGCCTCTATGATCTTGGTAAAAACTCAAATAGCTTCCGCTACCAATGGGCAGTGTTGGCCAAAATGTGACGGCTGCCCTAGCCAATGTTTATGTTTTTCTTATTCCTTTTGATATCAATGTCGGTCCTGTCTCCGAAAATCGATACTATTACTCTCAAGACGATCATTCTTGCGTCGCTCTTCTCTATGACGACCATTCATGTTTGCTTCTTTTCCACGCCACTACTCTCTAGGATCGTTCAAGCACCATTCATCTTTCCTGTGAAGGTTCTAGTGCCACTATCTATCTGGCTACCAGCGTGCCACTTTATACACAGCCAGGGTCATACCCTAAACTTTGAATTTACTATCATCGTTCTACCAATTCAAGATAACCTCCTAAAGATTTGCAACACTATCTCTTTGCAGTGATTAAAATAGATATTTCTACTTGTACGGTGCAAGAAGACTTTGTTTCAATGTGCCATTACCAGCAATTTTCTGGAGAAGAGAAAATCCAACACTGCTTTTCTACTTGTTGATTTTGCACTATCCGACGAGGTTGCTATATCAACTCTCTATGTTGCCAAAATAACAATATTCAAGTTGATTTCCTCACTTTTGACTTTAATGGGGCCTATTCGAATATTCATACATGTCAGGATTATTGTATCTGGATAAGAAAAACCTTATAGAATGTCATATTGGATACCTTGGGATATGTTGTATAAGAAATTATAGAAGATTTACATACCTTTTAGCATCGAGATTGATTAGCCAACATACTGGGTGCCTAATTCTATCAATGTAAGGGACACCCCTCCTATACATACTTGTAGCCTGTTTGGCCAAGCTCCTAAAATCAGATTATTTTGAAAAGTGTTTTTTTATATAAGTAATTTTGGTGAAAAGCAGTTTGTGTTTGACTAATCAATTTGAAAAGCACTTTTGAGCAACAATTAGTGTGTGGCCAAGCTTTTAGAAATTGCTTCTAAGAGCCTTTTTGGCCAAGCTTCTGGGAGGCCAAAAATACTTTTTTCCTCCAAAAAAGTACTTTTAAAAAAATTTAAGTTGTTTCACCAATACAGAGAAGTACTTTTGGCCAGCAGCAGAAGCAGTTTTTCTGCTTTTGGGAAGAAGCAAAAAATTCTAGCTTCTTCCAAGAAGCAGAAGCAGAAGTGAAAAATTAATTTATTCGAGACAAAACTATTCGCACCATAAATTTATATTTTTCAAATTATCCCTTACTAATTTAAGTTTTTTCTTTTCATTTTTGCTTCTAGTTTTTACCCTTCTTTTAAATTAAAGATATCATATACATGAATCATATTGTAACTTTCCAAATTCTTTATTGACTTTTCTTGTTTTTGATTTTTTCTTTGTAATGTATTGTAACTTCCCACATTATCTTCTTTTTTCACACTAAAGCAAATTATCTACATCCTTCTTTGGATTTTCAACTCTCTTCCTACAAATAATCATTTATAATTTCTTCTGTTATATGTTATTAGTTCCTGAATCTTTAAAACAGTTATCAAATCTAATTTGTGAAAATTACCTACAAATAGGTAATAAATTTAAAATTGCATCGCAAAATCTATATAATATATTATTAAAAGAAGAAGAAAAAGCATCACACAGTAAGTCAAGTGGCAGCCTGACAATAGGTCACTTGGTAATTTAGGACAAAGTTAGTAAGGTTAGGTAATATTAATTAGTTTTTTTTTTCTAATTTAAATTTTAAAAAAATTAAATTATACATTATGTGTTGTTAATAATTAGTTACTCTTTTTGAATTAGAAGTTAAATATACATAACTTATTTTTTTACAAAAAATTTATATTTACATATTTAAAATTATTTTTATTTTACGCTCAATGCCATCTTTCAAGTTTGACACTCAGAATCATCTAGTTACAATTACCATGGCTATACATAATTTCATCTGACGACATTCTTCTACTGATAAGGAATTCAATTATTATGTTAATGAAGACATTACTGCAGAGATTGAGGAAGGAGATGGGCCTTCTGATATTCCTTTAGAAATTCAAGGCAAGTCTTCTTCTAATATGGAGGCGTTGTGTGATAGACATAGAGATGAAATTGTTGAGAAATATTATCATGTGCGAGTGACTTTACTTATTATTTCATGGTAGATTATAAATATATTGTAATTTATGGAATAGACTTCTAATTCATACTGAAATGATGTATTTTGATTATTCAAATCATCATGTAACAACTTATACTAGATAATAACATGCTTTGGTATATATGTAAAATTGATTTAAATCTTTAATATGTTTGTTTACTTTATGTTTTATATTTTAATTAAATTAAATAAAGAATAATAAAAGTCTCTTACGATAAATATTTGAGTTTATTTTTCTCTTTAAAAGAATTATAAGACCTTGATACTATTTTTTTGGTAATTTGACACTGAAAAGTACTTTTTAGAAAGATTGGCCAAACACGATTTGTTTATCAAATGTTGCAAAAAATACTTCTTAAATGAATTGGCCAAACACAAACTGTTCTTTTCCAAAACTACTTTTCAAAATAAGCAGATTTTGGCAGCTTGGCCAAACGGGCTCTAAGTGTATTGTTCTTAAAAGTGCTTTTTTAAAAAGTACTTTTGAGAAGAAGCTTCTTTTTTCTGCTTCTCAAAAATTGTTTCTGCTTCTACTCAAAAACACTTTTTTTTCTTCCTAGAAGCTAGGCCAAACACCTCAACTTTTTAAGAAAAGCACTTAAAAGCTATGTTGCTCGGATTCTCTGAAAATGTTGCCGGATACGTGTCAGATCCTCCAAAAGTAATGCATTTTTGGAGGATCTGACACGGGTACGACAACATTTTGGAAAGTCCGCGCAACATAGCTTAAAAGGCCTTTTGGCCTTGGAGAAGCTTGGTCAAACATGCTATTAATTAAGTCAAGGAATTTACTTTCACAAAGAAATAAGAATATCATTATTTGCAAAAGATCTTATGTACAAACATTTTGGGACATCCTTAAACTGAAAGGATCTGCGAAATAGGAGCAAGGAGTCGATTTCCCACTTCTCTAATCTAGAAGGGTCAATGGTTAATTTGATAGAGCTTTGAGTTTTACTGCTTCATACCACCTGTCCTAAATCATAACAGCTAAAATGGCAACCTAGGTGACTGAAAGGAAAGTGCTTGGCAATTTCGCATATTACTTCTATGTGTGAATGATAGGGAACAAGAACTAAAAGGGTGTTTAGAGTAGACTGTGCATTTTGAATCATGTCCTGACATTATTGCTGTGAGTTAGTGGCAAACATAAGCCACGAACAATGCCCAATAAAAAGTTAAAGAAACCAATAATTTGAACTGGTCATGTGGAAAGAGGTTCAGATGGGCTCCTAGCACAAAATATTAAAATTTTTAAAAAGAAAGGTCTGACGAGATGGCCCAAACCTAAAGGATGATTGAAATTGGTACGCATGTTCTTTTAGTTAGGAGCTCTTCCTCTTCAAAATTCTGCTTAATCTATTTTTCCTGTGGACTTTCACAACTATCATAAGCAAAGCCCTTTGAAATTATTGCCCATAACAGATATCGCATTTTGATGTCAGTGTCTGAGCAATTTCATCTACCACCACAAAGGACTGGTCCAGATTACAGCGTCGCATCTCCACATCCAACCTGCCATTATAAGCTACACTCGGGGATCCACCAATATAGTAATATGTACTACTTTCACTAACCTATGTCCTCTGAAACCCTTCCCCAGAACCAAGTAACTTATACTCGATCAAGTCAAGAATATCCTTATTGCTTGTAAAACAGAACCTTAAGAATAAGAAAGTTACCCTCCAAGTGGGTGCACAACATCACACAAAGTTCTCTTATAAAAAGGCTACCCTAAATGCTAGGATTTGACTTTACCTTAAATTGTTTTTACCAAATCAGCCATTATTCCATCAGCCTACTGTACATTTGTATCAATTAAAAATAGGCAATGTCGGAAATAGCATGTGATGCATAGTTGAGTATTCAAGAGAGAAGAAGACGATGTAGAGCTGCAGCAATGTAGCCCCCAGGCACTTATGTGGTACTTTTGAGAGAAATAGGTACACATACAGTGCATTAACGGCTGGTTGGAGGTTAAATGGAATTAATATCCCCAGCCCAAGCATAATTGTGCATTTTCATTTTATAAGGTAATAAAACAAAAGAAACACAAACTAAGATAATAAAACAAAATTATAAATTTGCATTATAATTTTGAACAGAAGAAAGCAAAAAAGAAACACAAACTTAGTTTTATAATCGAAACAGATCATACATCCACTTTTACCAATTGTTCAAAGAATTCAGCAATCATTATTAAAAAATACAAGATGAGTAACAATTCAGCCAGGTCAACTAACTGGCAAGTACATAAAATGGTAAAAGAGATGAAAAGTTACATTGCAAGACTGGCCCAAATGCTGCATTTAGACCAGATCATCTAAATGCAGCAATCTCAAGACTGAGATATTATCCTTCTAAGAAATTTTTTTTCTTAATGACTCGCGCATAAGCCATGCAAAGGGAAATTAAAGAACCAGATTTCAATGAGACTGGAAAATCTACGCTTATTGCTTCCGTACCTAACCATTTCTAACTTGAAATACACTAAAAATTCTTTTACATTTTGAAGGGGGAATTCAAGAAAAGTATATGTCCACAAGTAGATCAAGTAAAAACTTACGTGGATAGAGTTACCTGATACTTAGATGGGAGGTATTATGCACCCACCGGCCACTGGATTAGTCATGGCCAACGGTCACCATTACTTAAAAAAGGTATATGACTCCTTTGTTATCCCACCACTCTATTTAGGCCTATATCATCTCAATACAAAATAGTTTATCCTTTAAGTCAACTTATATGTTCTCTAAAACTAGATGTACTCTAGATCACCCATTTAATTCTACAAGAACATACAAATCTCTTCTCTCTTCTTTTTTCTGTTGCTAGTAAGCAAAATAAAACATACAGGTCTCTAACTACAATTAAGAAAACTTCTAATTGAACTGTTTTTTATAAATATAAATATTTATGCTTCGTCATACTCCGAAAAGTGGGTGCAATTGTGCACCCACTGACCTAAAATCAAACCACTGGTCCAACAGTTTAGCTCAGACGGTCCTACTTCGCAACAAATACTCTCCCCATCCAATCTAATATACACACTTAAGACCCTCGAAATTTTTCCAATTAACTGAGCTCCAGCTAATTACTAACTAAAGAGAACCTGAAATTTCAGTCATTATAATTTGCTTCCAACGGAAATGAATTCATCTATACACGTCTCATCCACAAGTTCTCAACAAATAAGCGCAGAGCTAGTAACAACAACATAATACCTAGTGTGATCCCACAAGTAGGGTCTGGGAGGGTGGGGTGTACGCAGACCAATATATCGGCACCTAGTAGACGAGTATATCCGCACGTCACTAGTTAAAAATTTACAGGTTTTCAGCTTAGGGAAACAGCCGTAGATCCGAAAAAATAACTGTTATAGCTTCAGAATATAAAACCAAATTATTGCTATAATAGCCATCAATCAACCAACAATTATTGCATAAACACTCACCTGATAGCCTGATCTTCAAATTCGAAGACAACCCAAACGGTCAACGTCTAGAAAGTTTCTCACAAAGCTGAAATTTGATCTCCAGTCAAACACTAAAACGAAAAAGAAACAAACAACATGAAGAATTCGGAGAGAAAGTCGGGCCGGTGAAGGATAAAGAAGGGGGGGGAGGGGGGATGAGGAGAGGGTTATTGCGGGTGACGATTGTGGTAGAAACGAGAAGATGGGTAGGGTTTCCTCTTGGCTGCTATATGTTTTATTTGGATAAAAATGAAATATAGTGATTAGTGGGTGCAAAAAGAAAACGATGCTGTGGATGACTTGCTTTAAACGTAGGTTAAACGTATTATGCATATTCGGCCGAGTTTCTAAAATCACTTACTTTGAAAAGTATTTTTCTCAAAATAATTTATTTTGGCTAATCAACTTAAAAGAGTATTTTTGTGCAGTATAATATTTAATTAAATTTTAAAAAGTATTTCTAAGTATATTTTTCAAAATACTTTTCGAAAAAATACTTTTAGATAGAAATTACTTTTTTTAGTTTCTCAAAAATATTTTTTTCCTTCTAAAAGCTTGGGCAAATATCTAAATATTGGAAAAAAGCACTTTTGGCAATAACAAAAAATTACTTTTGACAAAAAAACTTGATCAAACAGATTATTATAGAGTTAATACCCGAAAACTCCTTAAACTATCATATTTTTGTCAGTTTCCTACTTAAATTATTCAGTGTCCCCAAAATTCCTTGAACTATATTGCCCTTCATATTAAAACCCCCTCATTGTTGAACTGGCATAATGTGTGTAAATACTCGCTTGAGAGCGGGTGACAGCTGAAAAAAAGTCACCAAAATAGCTCACAAGATAGAAAATAATGACTAATTAGCCTAACCCTTTTTCAAATTTACTTTTTTTAATAAATATTCTCTTTATTTCAGTTATATCCATCTTTCTTCCTCATTTTCACCATTCTTCCTTAATTTTTCACTTTTCTTCTTTATTTTTCACCTTCTTCTTCTTTTTTAGCTTTTTTCCTTCGGTTCTCCATATGGGTTTCCTCTGGAAAAACTTCACCTCTCTTGTTTCGTCTGAAATAATTTATTCTCTTTCTTGTTTTAGTCTTCTTTCATGTCTTACACATATTGTTGAAAGAATACCAATTTAAATCTTCTTATTAAACTCAACATCTTATAGAGAGTAAAGTTGAATCTCTTGAACCTTCTTTATATAATATGAAATTAGAAAATACAATTGCTGGTCAATTAATTTTTTTATTTGCGAATATTTGGTGTAATCTTGTTTATGTAATAAGATGATTTTTGAGAAATGTAACACTATATGCCTTTATTTATATTTTTAATGTGCTACACAGTGAATATAAATAAGGACCAAAACTCCTAGAATTAATCAGTCATTCGAGAATTATGAGTAAACTATGTAAATTTTTTGTACAAACCATAAGTTAATATAGTTAGACAGATATACCTTTAAAATTCCAACGTGTGGTTTTAATATATAGGAAAATATAGTGCAGGGGGTTTTGGGGACACCAGATAGTTTAAGTAGGTAACTGACAAAAAAGTAATAGTTTAGGCGGATTTTAGGCTTAGTTAAATAGCCACGTATAGTGCTACATGACACGTTTTTTTAGACAATTAGGAGTGTGTACTAGACGCACCTCTAAGAATGGAATGAGGGGATTTTAATATGAAGAGAAATATAGTTCAGAGGGGTTTTGGAGACATCAAATGGTTTAAGTAGGAAACTAACAAAAACATGATAGTTTAGGGAGGTTTTAAGGTACTAAGTTTATGATTTTCTTTCCTATTTAGTCACCAAAATATGAATTATTTCACTAGATACCCACAACATTTCACTAACATAAATATTGGATAAATCTGTCTAATAAAAACTTAAAAGGTGAAATAAATCATTTAATCTTTTGCCTTTCTATGATTCGAATTTAATATTATTATATTCATTCCAATTTCATTGGGTTTTGACCAATATTGTCCCTTATCTTTGGGGGTAGGTCTATTTTGGTCCCTCAAATATAACCCTTAGCATATTTAGTCCCTTAAGTATGCTAAAGTGGAGCACCTTTAGTCTCACTGACACAATATGTTAAAAAACTAACGGTGTTACCCAACTCTGATTCATGAAGCAAATCTTCTGCTCAGAAGCAAAACGCTTCCTCTCCTTTTACTGGATAATGCAAATTATCACTTTAATTCCTTATTTTTAGATAATGTCTTCTAAAATTTTGACCTTGAAAATGCAATTGTTCAATGAGAAAATGACATTGTATAGCCGCTGTAAAATAATATCCGAAAAATGTATAAAATTTGTATATTTTTGTATATATATATATATATATATACACACACAAATTTTATATATTTTTGGCTATTTTTTTAAAACAGCTATACAATGTCATTTTCTCATTGAAAACTCGCACAGAAGGGGATATTTTCAAGGTCAAAATTTTAGAAGACATTTTCTAAAAATGAGAAATTAAAGCGACAATTTACGTTATCCAATAAAAGGAGAGAAAACGTTTTGCTTCAAAGCATTCACGTCGCGAATCAGAGTTGGATAAAACCGTTAGTTTTTTAACACTCTGTGTTAGTGAGACTAAAGGTGCTCAACTTTAGCATACTTAAGGGAGTAAATATGCTCAGGCAATATTTGAGGGACCAAAATAGACCTACCCTCAAAGATAAGAGACAATATTAACCAAAAACTCACCATTAAACTGTGCAATAAAGTTTTTGTTTCTTGTTAGAGTGACCAAGTAGCGTATAACTGTAACCGCTAGCATATAATGTGCCTCGACCAAATAACACTTCATTACATATGAATTAGGTGATTTTATCTGAACTCCTTGCTTGTACATTGGGTCTACCCCTTAGTTTTAGAAATGGAAAAATTTCTGAATAATATACAGTTGGAAATGTTACATTATTACCCAAACAATAACAAAGAATGGGTTATACCTTACAGATGCATATTATATCAACGACTTGTGTATTATTGGATGCTATATATGATGATATTTTTTACATAATTTTTATGTTTTATTTTATTTGATAAATATATTTTTTGGGGTAAAACGTCTTATATATATTTTACGATGTTTTATCTAAACCTTCTTGAAATAATTGTTAAAATTAAATTATAAACTGCGCACTTTATTTGAAATGATCAATATTAGAATACCATGTAGTATGACTATCATTTTTAAGTAATAGTCATGTTTTTGTGTATCATCTAATATCATTCATTACATAACTGTTACTCTCTAATATTAGTTACATATTAGCGATTTCATTCGTCGTGGCATTTTGAAATTTCAGGAGCTCCATAAGAAGAAATTATGTGATCGTTTTTTTTTTTATGTCAAGGCCAACATTAATGTACTATACTATATCAACTATATTTCCTTTCAAGACGAAACAAAAAAAAATTAACAAATTTACTAGCACTCAGGTAAATAATTTTATGATTCACACATCAAAACATTAAAAGAACAAAAATGTGGTAGAGAAGCTTCTTTTCTGATACTCATATACCAAAGAGGAACTGAAGATCATACTAAACATTTATATGTTAAAACTATGAACTTAAGATTGTGTTCTATATTGTTTAATTAATAAATTATTATATTGTGCCATTGTTTCTACATTGTCCTTGTTTGTAACCTTTTCATTTGTTGTTGGATCATATTTTGATGTTTTTTAAATATGAGTAAGTAATAAGCCTTTAAAAAGATTGACAAACATTTCATTGCATCATAATATGTATTTAATCTTTAAAGGTGCAAAGAGATTTTAATAGCATAGTAGTTAAGATAGTAATAGACAAATAATTTTTATACATATACATAAAAAAAACTTTTATATGACAATCAACTCAAGTTATTTATTAAACTTTTTATTTACCCGTAAAACGGTACAGTTGAAATTATACGTGATTTATAGATAAGTAAATTAATTTGATCCCAAGATGATGAATAAATTAGACAAAAATATAAGACTTAGCCTTGAAATTGAGATAAAACAGCAGAAATCGTGATTTCGTGAGCAGGGCTTCCGGGTGAAATAATAACAATATAAATGAGCAAGAAGATAGAATTGTATTGAGCTTTGAACAGAGTATAATATATGTTTGTCAAAAAATTCGTGTCCTTTACAATGATAATAGAGCCCACTATTAAAAGTTGCACCTAGGGAACAAGGTCCTAGGATCAAGCCCCTCTTTAATGACAATTATAGGGCCATTGAAGAATGTATAATGGTGGAAAGTGAATGGCATATTCTCTACGGACCATATAGTTAATGTTGTAGAATATTCTTTATTAAATGCTACCGGGTGGCAGGCATTTATCTTGCCTTTATGAATATCATTCTCTCCGATAACATACGAAATCGTTGTCTTCGGACCCGACTGTCTTGTGTCTTCAGCTCCACGTGTCACTTTCGCATGCGATCATTTAATATGAACATATTTTACCCTATATAGATAGTCCCCTGCTTTTCGGTGGCATAACTTTGTGTCACCGAGAAGTTGGTAGAGATACCTTTTTAGCGGAAAATTCTCTGACCCTCTCTATAAAGCTTCTGACGGTTGATTAGACGCGTGTCTCTCTGCATTTGACGCCTTGAACACGCATCATCCCACGATTCAGCACTATTTTTGCCAATTATCGAGGTAATTATGACCACGATTTTAGCCGCCTATTCCTTTACTTATACGCATCAGACTTCTCCATTTACACTTCATAACTTTCCAAACTCTCTCGAACTCTGTTTGCTTAACTCATATTTGTCTTCAACTTTCCCAAATCTTCTTCTTTATTAAAAACCCTTTTCTCTCTTCGTGCTGCTATGAGGGAACATCAAGGGTATCACCTTGTTTGGTTCTCTATCCCCTGAAGCTATAACAGTTCACATTGAGTTGGAATCTATTAACTTGCAGTGCAACCCAAGTATGTCAGGTTCCCTATCTGGTTCTTGACAAAGTTTGTTAGATCATCAAAACATAAGTCAAAGACATTGAGAAACCTATCAATTTCCCCATTTTTGATGATGACAAACTTAAACAGATAACGTTGTTATTTAGAGCAAGATGAACCAGATTAAGTAACAAGAGAACACAAATTTCCCAAGTTCCCCCTGACTTTATGCGTTCCTTATTTCACACTAGTTCCTCCTGACTTTATGACGTTATGACTTATTTATTTCCCCTTTTGGCATCATTAAAAAGGCACAAACAGATAAATATCACAAAGAAGTCT